AATTACAATTGCGTCCTCTTGACGCTTACAAACGGTGCCAATTCGGCAGTCAAAATAAAAATAAGAACCTGAAAAGAAAGTAAAGACAATATTCTAACTACGAGGCTCTCTAAAAAAATAACTAACTCACCGCGTTTTACAAAAGCCGCAGCTAATTCAGCGGACTTGAAGCTCACTGGAACAATTGCAACTACTTCCCGCCAAGCACATAGGCCGCAACGCGGGGTTTTTCAAATCTCTATAACTACCTCCGCGCTCGCTAAGTAAGAATAACTCTCTCTCACCGAACTTGTTTCCTTCTATTTAAATCATACTACTTCCGCTGATAATTTGAATGCTTGCGCGTTCTACTCAAATTTACATATTCTGGCATTGGCAGTTCCAGGGGAAAGTAAGGATTGACAGGAAAGATAGTTTGTTTAAACTTAAAATAAATGTTAGTTAAAATAAATATAAACCCTACAAGTGAAAACACATATATTCATGAAACCTTTAAAAAATTCCTAAAAAGTTGTAAAGATAATTGTGAAAATTCGTATCCTACTGTAGTTATGAATTAGATGTCTCGCATTGCATGTTTTATATTAAATTATCTCTTTAATAACGCAATTTGAGAACTCATAAAAGAGTAATATTTGTTCGTAATAAAATTTTAATGACAGTGACTGTCTTAATTAGATGTAATTAAAAATTAATGAAAAAAATTATAGTCCGTGTGAAGTGAAACTTCATTAAAAATTTATGTGATTTATGATCTAGATACACATTTATTTATTACAGGATAATTAATCCGTCTGTTACGATTTACTTTTAGAAAATGAAAACAACGGTTTTCTTCTTTTCAAATAAGATGTCTAGATTGAAAAATTATGTTTAAGATTTCGAATTATTAATTAAAAATAAGTCTAGATACATTACATCAGTTTTTGTTTTCAGGGCAGAAGAAACTATGTTATTACTAAGAGAATCTTAGCTGTAACCAATGTCCTTCTGTAATAATTCCTTTATTCCAAATGCTAAAAATAATATACAGGTAGCCCTCCTACAACACGGCATCCTGTAACACGGTTTTGCTATAACACGATTCATAAATTGTGAAAACCTTCCTACAACACGGTTTTCCTATAACACGGTTTTGCTCTAACACGATAAGAAAATTGCCCAAGAAATCGAAAAAATTAGGGAACTCCGCACGAAGTTTTTCCATATTGTGCAAAGCACCCATATAGTTATTTAATACGTAAGAATCTTTGTTTCGTAAGTTCGGCCAGTTGTCTTCCAAAATCCGCTACCCGTACGAACAAATGTCCTCAGATGACCCGTATGAACAAATTCCCACAGATAAAATGAAGAAATTTCACTATCGCAGAAGGTGAACAACATGAGGTCACAATAAGTGCTCTAAAACGCACAACCTGCACGTTCGGCTTCCAAAATTTGAATCCCGGTCTCCATGGCCTGAAAACAAAAGTGTCTCACGTTGCTGGTCGGCAGTCTGCGTCGAGCCACGGTGTATTAAAGAATAACTTTTTCGTCTTTAAGACATTAAGTTTCAGTCCCCAAACATGTCCGATAAAGATTTAAAAAAAAAAAAAAAAAAAAAAAGTTTGAGGAAATTCATTTCTAGAAATACAGATACAAATCTTGGACGGCCTTTTAAAAGGAGAAAAGGCATCTCACATTGGAAAAAGTTTTAATTGGAATGAACAAACAGTCCGGACAATTAAGAAAAATGAAAAAGAAGTATAGTTGCTGCAAGATCTTCGACATCCGCAAAACATGCAATTCGCCCCTGCGGGGCGCCAATAATTGAGAAGATGATAAAGGCACTCAGAAATTGGATTGATGATAGCTGTCAAAAAAAAAGGAATTTCGTTGGATGGTTATACACCGACTACCAATAAGTATTTGGACACCTGTGATAGAAAAGAAAAACTAACTTTATTCAAAATCAATAGTTGGTAGAGCCTCCACGAGAGGTAATTACAGCGTGGACCCTCCGGGGCATACTTTTCACAAGTCTTTGTATGACTGCTAGTGGTATTTTCTTCCACTCGGCCTGGAGAAGACATAGAAGTTCCTTCACCGATTTTGCACGTGTAGTGCACCCCTGAATTCGGCGATGCAGCTCGTCCCAGAGGTTCTCGATAGGGTTCAGGTCTGGACTCTGGGCAGGCCAGTTCATTCGATGAACTCCATTGGCACCATACCAAGCCTTAGTTAACGTCGAAACATGACAACTGGAATTGTCGTCCTGAAATTAACAGGGGTCCAACCCGTAAAACTGCCACAACGTAGGAAGCACATTGTCATCCAAAATAGTGCAGTAGGCATCGGAGTTGAGCTTAGCATGAATGGGGACCAAGGGTCCCAGCCCATACCAGGAGAAACAGCCCCAGATCATAATTCCACCTCCGCTGAACTTGACTGTTGGCACAATGCATTCTGACAGGAGACGTTCTCCAGGTAGACGCCAGACCCAGACGCCGTTAAATTAAAATATATCATATTTTTTGTTTTGTGTTGTACATACATATATATGTTTAATAAAAATTAAATTGTTAATTTAGAATTGAAACAAATATTTGTTTTTAATACGTTTTCGGAACATAACCCCCCTTATTACGTTGGGTCTGGGTCTCAAACAACACGGTTTCACACAACACGGCATTTTCTAGAAGCCTATCTACCGTGTTATACGTGGGTTACTTGTATATATATTTATCGTTAGACATGCCTATAGCGATAATCTATTACATTAGAATAAATATTGTAAATTTAATAAGTGGAGGCAAAGCCCAGAGGCAGAGAGCATTTATTGCATTTGTGGACATTTCGGATGCTGAGTATGGTGACATTTCATTGTACTGTCATGCGCTGGAAATTGTCTACAACAGTTTTTTGGTTTGAAGAATGAAATTCTTGCTTTCCTCAAAAAGAAAACATTAGGCATGAGTATCAAGAAAAATTGGAAGAAATTCAGTTTTTAAATAATCTTGCTTTTTTGACAGATTTAACATTCCATCTAAATGCTTTAAACTTAAAACTACAAGGCAGAAAACAAAATATATCGCAGCTTTATGGATATATTGAAGGCTTTTGCAAAAAAATTAATGTAATGCAGATTACACTTAAGGCAAATAATACGGTCCCATTTTCAAGCAGTCGAAAGAAGAAAATGACACAAATTTTAGTATGTTTCATGAAATAATTACTGATATCAAGGAAGAATTCCAGGATTTTGACTCTCTAAAAACAAAACTTTCATTGTTAAAAAACCCCATGGAGATTGAAGTAAGTGAGGTGGCTTGCGACCTACAAATGGAAATTTGTAATCTTTAGGCAGATACATTCTGCCAGACTGAAAAGTGCGATGTTACTGAATATTTCTGCAAAGTGTTGTCTAAAGAATATTTTCTCAGACTGCATAAATTCTTTTTGCAAATGTTATCGCTGTTTGGCAGTGCATATGTGTGTGAAAGTGCTTTTTCTGCTCTCAAATAAATTAAATCAAAACCGAGAAATCGCATTGAAAGTGATTCACTGGAATCGAGCCTGAGACTTTTGCTTACTGAAAATATAGTGGGCATTGATAAACGTGTGTCAAAAAAGCAGTGCCAATCATCACATTGATTTCTAGATTGTAGACTGTAAAATAAAGTGATATATTAAAATAGTGATTTATATGAATTCATTTTCTTTCTTTAATGTCTCTGGCCCTCACTTTCCTATACTAACTTTAACGTCTCTAGTTGGTGACGGCGACACACATATTGACATGGTAAATAAGGTAAGGGCCGTTATGAATGAAAAGTTTTTTTTTTTTTTTTTTTTTTTTTTTTTTTTTTTTTTAAGTAACAGACCACAGTTTTTCACTTTACGCAAGATTATTTTAAAATTTTGCTGCTCATTCGTTTAGTAACCCTAGAAAACAGCCTGTTCTGCAAGATATCAATTCCAAGTCATAAGATTTATAGTTTGTAATATTATCTTTCGTATTGCAACAGAACATTGCTGACAGAAAACTGAGCATTTTAAAAGCCAAATTCATATAACGATATTATTAACTTTTATCATGGTAATGTAATTAATTAAAAAAGTGTGATTAATTAACAGCAAGTCTGTGCTTCTTTTACATAATTTTATTTATGATTAATAGCACATTTTGATAAAATCCCATTTTGAGACTCTTTTGAGCCAAGAAAGGCTATTAATCACAAAATGAGATTTTGCATTGAATCACTATAAAAGTCTGATAATATTTGGTGGCACTAAAATTATTGCCACCAAATATTATCGCTCTGTTAATAAACAAAGCTATTTAAATGAATTAAATAATATAGAATCTGCATTAATGTATGTATGTTTCTAGCACTGTGAAAAACAACGGTAGCTAGAGCCATCAAATTTTGAATAGCGTAGCCCTCCAGTCGAATTGGAGCACCTGGAAGTCAGATTTTGGAATTTGGAATTTGTTTTATTGTCTATTTCATATTTTATAAAACTTTAACGAAATTTTGATTAAAAAACTCAATGATTTCAAAAGCGAGCAGTGGCAACACTGTTGGGAATAAAAATTTTTATCTCCAGCGCTCGAGACTGTCCGTCAGAAATTCTAAAGGTATGCTGTTTTTAAATATTTTGAACCCAAAGTGGCGTTAGCCCAAATGCTCTCGAACCGTGTATGTGTCTGTAAATGAAATAAACGCCCCTTTGGGTGTATTATGAAATCAGAAATTTTTCAGATTTTTTTTTTTTTTTTTTACTTTTAATTTCAGATTTACAAGAACATTCATTACCTAAAGAAAATTGAAGTTACAGTGAAATTTAAGAAAATGGCAATAAAGTCTTTTTCGTACTTCCCAACCATAATTTCATTTGAAAGTTAACCGCAGACATAATTAGTAATGAAAATGAAAACATCCTTCGAATGCTAAAAGTTTATGAAATTATTTGAAACTTTATACACATTAAATGAAAATATCAAAAATAAATCAACACTGTACTCCCTTTTTTAAACATTTTATTATAATATAATCAGATTAAGGAGCATCCTATAATTAATCTGAGTTCCATTCGAAACACATCAACATTTTTCCATACACCATAATTAGAAACTGCATTTGTTGAATGCACATTGCCAATCTTCATTTCATAAATGCACCCGACTCAGGTCTTAACAGCAATTTCATTAGACATTATCTACTCAAACAGACGTCCACATTGGTAAGCGAAGGCTTTCAAAGAAGAGAAGGAGGAGACATTATTTTTAACGCCATTTCGTCAGAACGTTCTTCCCCGACGCTGGTAAAGAACTAAAATAGAACATTTTTCTACCTAGATTGTATCTACCAAAATCTTATACAGAAGGAAAGAAAAGGCATATCATGAGGTTTCTGAACGGAATATGGTTTATAGATGGATTATTATGATTACATTGATTGTTTTTCTAATTATAAACAAAGACGAACATGATCATACGAATTCCGCTGACATTGTTGCAACTTATCGTCTGCTGTCTGATCGTAAAACGTTACGGTAAGTAGGAAGCGTTTAATTCTTTGTTTTCACAACCTTGCCTGTCTTCGAATGTATAGTTGTATCTTTAGCTCATAGATATACTCATTTTTAACGTAATATTTGAGATAAAATGATTAAATGAAGAAGCATAGTTTGATGACTTTTATTTACTGTATCTAATAATATTTTTATAGTACTTGTAGTTTACTGTTTCTAGTATTTCCTCTGCTATTATGTTCCAAAATACTATACATGTTTTCATTAGAAGAAGGGTGAAGAAATCCATAAAACTGCTATGCAGAATTAAAGGTATATTCTGAGTGTTAAGTACAATTTAATAATGTTACGCAATGATTTAATAGATGTCGTTTCAGGATTCGCTGTGATTTTATTTATTAAAAAACTTAAGAGAATTAATTTGTAGTTTTCATAAATACGTATTCCTTTCATTTGCACGTGACATGGGAAGTTCTTTATGCAACATCTATCCTAAAGTTACAAAATTGCAGTTTTTATCTAAAATTGAAATTTTCAAATTACTCTTTTCTATTAAGTTCTGAAATTACAGTTTCCTAAATTTGCAATTTTCTTTCTCTGGAAGCAAATGCAAGCAACGTAATTTGACTTATATATCAGAGTTAATTTGACAAAATATCAGAGCCAAATGATAGCAAAATTTCTATGACACTATTTCATCATAAATGAAAGTTACTGAGAGAGTTGTGCATTTATTTAGCAAAGAAAATACTTATTTATTCTAGACATAGTTGTGCATCTATTTCGCAAGGTGAGCTTGCATAAAAATTTACAAAAATTATTTCCCTCTTTTTTTTTTAATTCTTGTTGTTGTTGTCAGGACACGAAATTCTTTTACTGAAAACAATAAGCATCTCTTTAAGCCGTTTGATAAAAAGAAATTGGATTTAGATTTTTATATGTCCTTCTAAACATATTTATTTTGGCAATCAGATACACATAATTTTTAACTGCCAATTTTTTAAATTTAATGTTTAACCATTTAATGTTTTTTAAAAATATTTTAAGAAAAAATTTTAATGTTTATAAGAAAAAATAACTCATAGAATTTTTTAATCATATATCACACATATTATCTAATCTTTCTGAAATATGAAAGTAAGCAACAGAAGAATCGAGCAGTTAAACAAAGCGGCATGAAATTTAATAAATACATTTACGAAAGTGATAGTAGGGACATAAACTATGCAAATTTTAAATAAATTATTTCTGAACTAAATACACGGTTTTTCACTATTCCATAAAATATTTACAAAATGAATAACAAATAATTATGCAACCGATATCAAATTTTATACATTACACTTTTTCCCCAAAAAAGTATTTGTAAGCAAGCTTCTATTTAAAAGCCTTCGTCGAAGGAAAGATGCTTCTTTTTCAATATAACAAGTATCACTGATGTGAGTTTTCTGTAGAATATTTCGTGAAATAATGCTAATAATTTACTTTCGTCTCATTTAATATTACTTGAACAAAAAATACATTTCACTTTACCAAGTGTTTTCTTCGTGTTTTATAAAATATAAAATATATTTTAATCAAGGGCCTTTTTTAAAATTTTTATTTATGTATTTATTTGGAACAAACTGGAATGAAGAAAAGAACATAAAGAATCCTTACTGATTTTGTTACAAATCTTAATTAATTAAATTACTTTCATTCTGGCGGGACATGATCATGCAGCAGCATAAATTGACTAGGTAAGTTAACATTTGCTTAAAAATCCAGGCTTTTTTTTTTTGAACGATATCAAGCGCGAACGGTAGTGCAGAACAAAGGTCCAAAGTTTGATTAAAGAAAAAAAAAAAAAAAAAAAAAAAAGATAAAATAGATACTAAAGTATGAAATTTAAAATTTATTTTTGATTATAGTTTAACATTTCTCTGAACTGAAAAACAGTATTAAAATTCTGTTACCTGAATGGTGCTCAAGACTGTTGCCAAAGGCAGGCGTAATCTAGCGCTCCTTGCCACGAGGAATTTCGTGGGCTTGGACTGATTTCGTCAGACAAGTGAGCATAAGCAACAACAACACAAAAGTATTAAAATTTTACATAATTTTAATATTTCACTAGGATTCGCTAGCATTCTGCAGGTGAAGATCCGGGATACCTGCTCCATTTGATCTTTCATAAATCAAATATTGCCAGTAACCGAAATAATTATTTTTGTAAAAACATATTTTGTATAATACATTGTCATTAATGCAAGTTATCCTAGTAAAATGTTTCTTTCGTTAGGGGGAAAAAATTCGTTCGGGGGAAAGTTCTTTGTCAATTGATTTACTGAATTCTGACAGAAATTTTACTGTAGTGAATTGAGAATGATTTCAGTTAATAGCGACTCCAAGAAATTTGTGGACTTATTTTCATTTTTTTTTTTTTTTTTTTTTTTTTTTTTTTTTTTTTTTTTTTTTGTTAATATGAAATTTAAAAAAAAAAAAATCTGCTGATACTTCTTTTAAATTTTCATCTTGCCATCTTAGAAATTTCAACAAAAATGCATCATATTATATTACATAAACATCTACTTCCTTGCAGACTGTGAATCAGATGTGATTTACAAAGGAAAAATGTATGTGTCTGACGGTGAGCCTATCAATATTTCGTGTATTCGATCTGCTTACGGAACACCAAAATGGACTAGGAATGGCCTAGCTGTGGATCTCAATGACCCTCAATACTTTAGTGCAGAAGAATATTTGCCTAGCAATAGAATACGAATGGAACTCGGCATAAAGCAAACCTTCTGGGAGCACAGAGGTGAATACAAATGCGATCCGTTGAGCAGCAGCAGCCATAGAGTAGAAATTGTGCCTTCAAAAGGTAAGTGAGATCTTTGATTTTAAGCAGCATTATCGAGTAACAGACAGTTTTGTTTTCAGCTAGAGTTTTGTTGCTACTAAACCGAATTATTTTATATACGTATCATGAGGCTTTAAGTATCTCTATCTCTACATATAATAAAAGAAAGAGTCTGTGTGTGTGTCTTTCGTTCGTGCTGCGCGTAAGCTAGCACGAACGAAATAGACTCAGGGCTACGAAATTTGGTACATAGGTGCATCTAGACAAGACCCTGTACACCTCGAAGCGATTTTTTCAAAATTTGAATCAGATTTTTTTTTTTTTTAATTCTATCTTTTTTGATGAAATCGCATCATTTTGAATAGTTCTTTTAGAAATGGGATTTTGGCAACAGTGTTTCATTCATTCAATGCTTTGTATACTGGACTGCTGACTGTTGAAAATAGGAGATAAAGTATTATTAACTATACACGCAAGACTCACATCGCCATCTTCTTATTCTGACGTGCAAGTGTCTCGCGAGGCATAACAGGAAAAGAATTTCCCTTTCCACTCCCCATTATCTCTCTATTATTAGCTAATGGCAAAGAAGTTTGTATATTTTGAATTATGTCATCCACAAAGCACAATTTTGATTAGTTATTGCTTTCTGGTGATAGTTTCATTCCTTTAGAAATGTGGTTTTGTCAACAGTTTTTCATTCACTCATTGCTTTGGATACTGGACAGCTGACTGTTTTCTCTTGAAAATATGAGATTTATTGCTTATTTCATTGTAAATTTTTATATTATGTTTTTAATTATATATAATTTTTAATTAATAAAAAGTTTTGCAGGATTTTTTTTTAGGAAACAATGTTTTTTTAACTTCCTTTATACCATTTGAATTCATAAAGATTTTGCAACGGGAAGTAGGTTAATTTTTATTTATTAGGATAATTAATATTTGTGTTATTTCATTGTAATTTTTTTATATATAACACATTTTATTGAAATTTTGAAATTTTCATTTTTTCTTTTTTCTTGTTGTTGGGTTTTTTTTTTTTTTTTTTTTTTTTTTTTTTTGTAAAGTAAAATTCTGTGCTGTTTTCAAATTTAATGTTTGGTGGTCTTTAGCAATTTTCTGTATATTTAAAAGACAGAGGAAGGCTGGCCGCGTAGCGAGCGACTAGTTAACAATAAAATCTAAGTCTTTTCATTTTTCGAATTACTTTTGTTGAAAATAAAATGATCATGTGATCTTTGGCGATGGTGCGTTTGCAATCGTCTGATATCTTTTTTTCGGCGGGCCTTGCAAGAAAAGTTTCTGTAAACATCCAGAATTCTGAATGTAACTTATATATTTTTTGCTTACTAGGTTAGTTTATTCTTTATTCTTTTTCTACCTGATTAATCGTACTTGGTTTATAATTTAGCCTAATATGTTTATGTATGAGATGTGTTATGAGTTAAAATTAGAAAACTTGAAACACATGGTTTTCCTGCGAGAATCTCATTTATTTCTTTAATGTAATTTAATACTAATTTTCAACCTTAATTTATGCTATTCTACTATGGCATTAACCTATTCAGTGCAGCGTTTTAACTCGGGAGCGGCACTGAACTGGTTAAGTAATCTTTTTGCGGCATCGAAAATTGTCGTTGCGGAGAATTATTGCCAGAGCTGGATTTACAGGTTCGCTAAAGTCGCTACCGGGAAAAGGCAGCGTGTTTCGAGGGCCCCAAAATCATTTATTAACACAAAAATAGTTAACCTACCTTGTGTCTTTGTTTTGTTCTGCGCTGATGGTTCGCGATTCTAGTTTTCCCATCATTTCGCGATAATCAGACACTTTTGTTGCTGCATTTTACAACTAAATTTTTATATATTGATTTTAATTAAAAAGGTGTTATAATGATTTGTGCATACAGTGAATTGACGAATATTTTTATGCTATGTCTATTGCATGTGTGTTCGAAAGAATTCTTTTCTCATTTGGATATAAAAACAATAATTTCTGCAGTTGCATTAAAAGTTTGCGGCAGTTATTCTTAAGTTTTGCTAAGAATTACATTTGATTTAAAACCTATCCTACGCTTTTCGGCTCAGTGTCACAATATTCGCTCAGACCAGAAATTTAGATTTAATGGCAAAAGACATAGTTTAAAAGTAAGCATTCAAACTTAACTATACAGTGTTGGAGCATTCGCAGCATTGCCTCTGCGGTTTTTTACGCTTCCGTGAAAAGGCTAAGGCTGTGACATTGGCATTATAGCTTTATGAGTTTAGAGATAAACTTCGAGCTTTGTTTTATAAATAATTGGCATCTTAACTATCAGGGAAAGTATCCTCAAACTTTTAATATGACAAGTTACCGTTTTAGTTTGTGTTAAGATTTCAATTCTAAACAATTAAGATTAGCTAAATACCTTTGTATTTGATTTCAATTTCATTCGTGCTTTGTTATGGTGGGTTAATAGTTGTCAAGAGCATCAACTGGTTTATTGGTTGTGAGTAACCAGTTAACTAACTGTGTAGAGACATGAAGATTTTTGAAACAGGAATCGTGAAAATTGAGCAATGCCCTCGTCTGGACTCGAACCTCTCGAATACGCGCCGAGTTTGCTGACCATTGCATCCCAAAGGAATGCTAAGAAGCAGGAGAAATATCTTATTGGTGGTTACTTACGATGGATGGGTGAATAGTTGTCAAGAGCACCAAATGGTTTATTGGTTACGATTTAACACACAGAGTTTAAGAAACTGTGTGTTAGTCGTTGAGTATTCAGTTTTAGTTTTATTTCACAGCAGTGCATAATCTCTTTATCTCATCCCTATTAGCAGACCTCTCCTTATGCAATTCTAAAACGCTTCATTCTAAAGAAAGTTATGCATGAAGACCTCTATATAAATTCCTGCTAAAGGTACTCATTTCAGTAGAGTCAACTTCCGACTTCCGATTAACCATGGGAGGATTAACCAAGCCTCTTCTTAAAAAAAAGGGGGGGAGAGGAAAAAGGGAGGAAGAAAAGGAAAAGAAGAAAAGGGATGAAAATGATGGAAAAATTATTATCGTAAACTATCAGCAAGTGTACAGAAAATACAAAAGTGTTCACAAAAGTGAGTTCGGAAAATATAAAAGGAGGGGAGGGGGAAAGCATGAGGCAAAAGCTGTTGTAGCAGATGAAATGGCATCTGAAAATTGTTTTCATCCACAGCGATACGTAATAATTGTTACATAATCCAAGAAACACTATGCGAGATATGATTATCAATCTTTAAAAAAAAAGTGTGAGAAAACAAAATTTGACATTTTTATTCCGAACTAACATTTGATGACATTGCTTAAATTCTCTTCAGAATATTGCTGTTTAATGGCCCTTTATAACTGAATTTCTTCATTTTAAATGCTGTTTTCAACTTATGCTATTTCTTGCGTGTTCTTTTCATTTTCAGTATTCATTTAATTTAACGTAATCAAGTGAACTGTTTGAAAATACATGTTAACTGAAAATAATATTCTTCCTTTAATTATAATATGGGTTATTTCTCTTTCCTGTCCCCCCCCTAACAAAAGCATGAACGCCATTCTTGGTAAATCGAAAGTTCATGGTATACATAACACAAATTAATTGCATAATTTTTAGTGTATCAGCATTCCTCTATTCGCAAAACCCTATTATATTTCCTGCGTCGCATATTTTGTTTTTCGTCCTTTATTCAACGAAACCACGCCTTCTGTCTTCTTAGAAGCTGAAATGTATTCTGAAATACAGCTGAGCAAAATTCATCCATTCTAATCGATTTTAAAGTGAGATTTGTTACCAGTAAAGTGCAGTTTCCTGCTTTTCTAATCCCGGAAATGAGAATAATCTTGAACCATTTGTTCTAAGTTGATGGGAGAATACTTTACCGAGTTTCATTTTTTCTATCCTTTTTACCTATTTAGTTATATTCAACTTCTGTATAAGTAGGGAAAATAATGCGAAAAGAAGGAATGGTTGAAGAAGGCGGCTTTAATGAATATTCAGAAAATTTGACAACTTTTAACGGAAAGGAGTACATTTCTGTTTAAATCTGGATTTATGAATTATCCCAAAATAATTCCAACTTTTTTTGTAATTTATGTGCAGTCTCGAGATATAAAATTCAGATTTTATTGATCAACTAACTACATTTTATTTTATGTTATTCTTGCTACCAATCTTACTTGTCTGAATGTTGATCCCAAGCCCACGACATTCATCGTGGCACGGAATCAAATACGCCTCTCGTTGGCAAGAGGCTTGAAAATCATATAGGTGACACTACGACTTCAATTCCGCCTCCAAATGTGAGACAAATTACCCTCGGAGAACGCGTCTGAGGGTCTAACACTCCTCTTTCTCTGCCATCAACCTCTCGAGAAGATTTTAGGTTCGCCGCATGTTTAGAGTGGCCCCATGTCACACAGACACTATACATTTATAAACATCAATGTCTTCTGCGGGATTATTTTTATTTTATAAATCATTAAGCAATAAAACAGTATTTTTTAATAGAATGAGTGAATATGCACTATCAACAGCATTGAGATACCCTTAATAAATTAACTAGGTACCGAATGTAGTTTTTATGTTAAAAATCTTAGAATAGAAAAGGCGAAGAGAATAAAATATGTGGCCCGTTGACGTAGTCAGCTGGTCTATGTTCACGTTTATTGGGCACGTGTTAAGTATTGCCATACTTTTCTTTATACTCGTTAAATATTTATATTTGAAATGTAAATTAATAATAGTGTCGGGATGATGAAGATATCCGGATCTGTTCCGGATATCTTCTTCTGTAAAAAGCTCCAAATTTTGGGTTTTTTTTTAGTCCAAAGGGATTTGAATCCCGAAGGACTATTAGTTTCGTTTTGGCATTTTGCGTCGGACGGTGGTGTTGTATTCAATTATGGCAAAGCACACTAGGGCTATCTGCCTAAGGGGAGGGATGCCTTTCGTGGAGGACTTTCTAAGGGAAACTGGCTCGTATACACGTTACACATGGGGAAAACCACGAAAACGCCCATGCAGCCAGCCCGTTCGCGGGATTCGAACCTCGGACCGAACTACCAGTGTTCAGCGACTTTACCGCTCGGCCGCTGGTGGGCCCTGCGTCGGAC